TACAGAATTCCTGTCTGAGGTGTGCTGGAGGCTTCCTCCTCCAATTTCAGCTTATAGATTTATGATACACATCCCCTCCCACTTTAACAGGGGCCATTCTTGTCCTACTATAGTTACTGTAAAGATACAGGTAGTCCTCATTTAGTGACTGCCTCTTTTAGTGACCATTCTCAGTTATGGCGCAGATGAAAAAGTAAGTTTGCAACCAATCTTTGCATTTATGACCTTCACAGGTCTGTAAAGCAAAGGAAAGCTGAAGATTATAAGCAGAGTCACAGTTTCACTTAGTGACCTCTTCCGCTGATGTGGGGTTTGGTATCATCTACCCCAGGCCGGGCAAGTGATGATGTTCAGGTGCTGACCCAGTGCCTTGAAGCTGTAAGGGCCTGGATGGGGAGAAACCGGCTGCAAATCCACCCTAGCAAAATGCAGTGGTTGTGGGTTTTGGCCCCCCGGGGTCCAGAGAGTTGACATCTTTGACTCTGGATGGGGAAGCACTCCCCCACACAGTTCTAGTGTGCAATTTGGGGGTCATCTTGGACTCGCAGCTCCTGCTGGAAGAGCAGGTGGCAGCTGTGGCCAAGGGGGCCTTTGCACAAATCTATCTTGTGCGCCAATTGCTCCCATTCACAGTCACCCTTGCCTTAGTCACCTCCCATTTAGATTACTGCAATGCGCTCTACATGGGGCTGCCCTTGAAGACCATCCGAAAGCTGCAACTGATCCAGAATGCACCAACATGCACAGTTTTGGACGCCCCATAGTTCATGCGAGTAACACCACTGCTGCGTGAACTGCACTGGCTTCCAGTTGCTTTCCAGGTGCAATTCAAGGTGCTGGTGATCACCTTGAAAGCCCTACATGGCACAGGGCCAGGTTACTTGCAGGACCACCTCTCCCTGAGGGTATCTGCCCATCCTACTAGATTAGATAGGGTGGGCGCTGCAAGACCCCCCCTTAAATGTTGCCAGCTGATGGGACCTCGGAGGCATGTCTTCTCAGGGGCCACCCCAGCCCTTTGGAACAGCCTCTCACCAGAGACCTGAGGGATCCCTTCCCTTTTAGCCTTCTGGAGGGCTGTGAAGACCTGGCTCTTCCCCAAAGCATTGGACTAAGATGGGGGTTGAACTGCGAGGGTGATTGGTCTGGCACCTGGGGAGAACAGTACTTTTTCTTTTAATTTTTTTTTTTTTTTATGGATTGTTGCGGAGCTGCCTAGAATCATCTTATGAGATAAGTGGTCATATAAGTCCTGTCAATAAATTTTAAACAATAAAATATAAAATCAATCAAAGGAACAAGTTGCCGGTCCCAACTGTGGTCGCTAAACGAGGACTACCTGTAATACCGTTGAGTCCGAATACTCTGAAATAGTATGAGTGTCTTTATTAACGAAGTGATCTCTCTGTATGAGTGTCTTTATTAACGAAGTGATCTCTCTGTCCCCTTTGTTTTCAGCCAAGCCTGCTTTTGTCATCCATCCACAGAACACAGAAGTGCTTGTGGGGGGAAGTGTGACTCTGGAATGTGGGGTGTCAGGACACCCCGCACCTCGCGTCGTCTGGATGCTGAGCTCAGGGTCACCGCTGCCCCAGAATTCACGCTTCACCATCACCAGCTCCGGAGGCCTCTATATCCAAAATGTCACTTTGTCGGACGAGGGGAAATATAGCTGCAAAGCCACCCACAGAGAAGGGTCCATTATGGCGACAGCAAACGTTATTGTGCAAGGTAGCCGTGAGAATACCAACAGCCGAACTTAGTTGGGCAATAAATTAGACCAAAGTCAGGTCATCCAGCATGAGAAAAACTGATGAACCTGCAAAGTAGAACAGCTAAGATGTAATCTAGGTTTGTTCACTCCGTTCATTTATAGCAGTGTTGTCCAAACTTGGCCACTTTAAGATGAGTGGACTTCAACTCCCAGAATT